CCCCAAAACCCCAAAACCCCAAAACCCCAAAACCCCAAAACCCCAAAACCCCTTCATTTCATCTTCAAATTGAAAGCAACTTTCCAAGCTAAATTCCTTGTATTTAACCGATTGAATCCCTTAAACCACTTCAGGAATAATTCTGTAACTTAGCTAGCAAGGAATAAGAAGTGCTGCAGTAGAGGGATGACTTTGATCTGGCTCAGGTCGTAGAAGAGTTCTTCGAACTCTTCTTGGCTCGTACAGTTAGCGATCAGGGTTGACCTGTATACGAAGATGGCTGCGGCCAGGATCGGTATGATTTCTACCGTGTCAAAACCGATGATCCTGTCGAAGAGCAGGAACAACTCGCTGACTTCGAGATACCCAATGAACATGTTGAAGATCCATGGGAACGCAGTCTTTAAAGGGTTGATTCCCATCTGATTCAAGTAGTAGAACACTTCAGGCTCATAGGTCTGGAGAAGATCCTCGAACAGTTTTCACAACCCGATTATTCCCTGCGAGTCAGAATTCAGAGAGTGCAGCTGGCAAATGTACTTTGCGTAAAATGCTCTGAAGATGAAGTAGATGTCCTCTGGGCTCGTTGAGATATAGCAGAAGGGACATACAAATTTTGAAAAGTGCTTACAAGGAAGAACACCATTCGGTGGAAATGGCCCAACTTCTTTGTCTAATCCTATTATTGCAGTGAGGGTTGCATGTGGTTTAGACCTCATATTCTCTAGAACCCAGGTATCTCTGAAGAAGAGGTTTGTAACTTGCACTATGAAGTCTTGGAAAATGAAATATTTTTCATCATTGATGACTTCGTTTGTATCAAAATTGCAAATATCATCAATGCAAAGGTCCCATTTGGAGAAATGGTCGTTCAAAGATTTATAGTATTCATAATCCCTTGGATTCATCTCAATGTTGAAGATCTTCTTATATACTCTACATCTCAGTGATGGAGGAACTCCTCTTCTAGCATAGTTAATCAAGAGTGGTCTAAAGTCTTTTGAAAGGAGTTTGTCTCCTTGAAGAAGTCTTTCGTCAATAAAGGACTTTTCGTCATCGACTCCAATTTGTCTAAGAGTGACATTTAACTCGTTAAACTTCTTCCTCATCTCTTTGACAGACATGGTCTGGAGCTGGAGCTTGACGCTCCCCCAGGTTAAGTTCATTACGCCAGCATAGTTGATAGAGTTGACTTTTAGGACAGAATCAAAAAGAGTATTCTGATCAAATATGAACATGCAAGAGGGATCATCCACTTCTTTAAGATCAATGGGAGGCACTTCTGGTACATCTTTACCTCCCTTCGCTTTAGCAGAGATGAAAGGTTTTCTAACTGTTCTGGCAACAACATTTGCTTTGTACTTGATCTGTTCATTCCAGATTTTCTTCGCATTAGCAACACTTTCAAGAGGCTCGAAGTCTTTTTCTTTGTAGAAGGCTGGTAGGAAAGAACAATCTACACAATCTTTAAATTGGTTCTTCGCGACTGTGATATTGTCCTTGAAATACCTGTTTTTCTCCATAATTTCTTGCACTTTGTTCTTAATCTGGGTGTCAAGGTTGTGATTGTTCATGATTTTTGGAATGAGAGAGTTTAAGTCTTCATTTATGTCTTTCTTCTTCACAAGCTCGTCCTTAACAGCCTTCTTAAATGTCCCAGAATGTATGGGTGTCCTTGATTTGTTCATAGATACTTGATTTCCAGTCTCGCTCTTTGAAAACACCTTCCATTTGAATTTTTGAATCAATTATTTATTATTTTTAGGGGTTTTGGGGTTTTGGGGTTTTGGGGTTTTGGGGTTTTGGGG